TCTCACTCTATGCCCACCCCGCTGAGGTCTCTGTCTCACTCTATGCCCACCCCTGCTGAGGTCTCTATCTACTCTATGCCCACCCCGCTGAGATCTCTATCATCTCACTCTATGCCCACCCCACTGAGGTCTCTGTCTCACTCTATGCCCACCCCGCTGAGGTCTCTATCTCGCTCTATGTCCACCCCCACTGCGTACAGTCCTAGGATTGCCCCCTACCTGCTGCCATACACTCCAACCTGGAAGCCCGGACCCACACAGACTCGATTCACTCCACATTTGCCTGTATGTCCCTCTGCCAGCTTCTTGTGCCCAGGTAACCATGAAGAGTCTTTATTAGGCCTTTTACAAAAGCCTCCCATGTCGCTCACTCCAAGTCCAACCTTGGGGGTCTGCTTGGAGGTAGGGGCTGCTGCCAAGCCTACCGCTGACCTGCTGTCTGTGTAACCCAGCTCTTAAAGGGGTCGGCAAAACCAAATGCTGTCAAGTAACCCTGCATCCCTTTACCCTCTTCACACCAGCGAGTGGATCTTGCTAAGGGGTACAGTGTGCTCAGCGAGGAAGTAATGTGTCCCAAGGTGGTTATGGGATGAGCTCCAGCGAGTGGAACACAGACAGGAATTGTTGGGTAGTGTTTTTCAAAAAGCCCCTTTACACTCTTCCTTCCTCTCTCTCTTCAGGATACTGTGGTGTTTATCGGAGCATGAGCAGACACTTTGTAAGGGGCTATAATAATTCATGAGTCTGAGCAACTGAAGACTTGTTAGGCCTACCTGTGGGGCTAACATGAAGCCATTTAGATAAAACTTCTTGGTGGCACTAAAGGCACTGGCTTTCTCACGCCAGTATCTTCCAAAATGAAGCCTCTTTCAAAATTCCCTTCTCTCTGTACTTTTTTTTTTCAAGATAGTGTTTTTTCTTTGTGTAGCCCTACTGTCCTGTAACTCACTCTGTAGACCAGGCTGGCCTTGAACTCACAGAGATCTGCCTGCCTCTGCCTCCTGAGTGCTGAGATTAAAGGTGTGCGCCACCACCTGGCTCTCTTTGACACTCTTATGTATTTTATAACACAGCTTAGAGACCTTATACATACACCCATGGGAGCCTCTATTCACGTCCTCAGACATTGCTCTCTGCCATATGTCACATTCCCAGTTCCAGAGCAGCCACAGACCTTGAACTGGAGAAGGCAAAGGGTACACTTTTCCCCCTTTCCTCTAGGCTCAGGACAGAGTTCACATTCCCGCTTTACCAATGACTGCCATGCAGACAATAAATCGGGCAGTCAGAGCCCAGAAAGCATCATTAGGATGAGGCAGACCTGAAGTAGCCCTGTAAGAGTGACCTTAGTCACCTCCCCTGCACCCACATAATAGCTGGGCACAGTCGTGTGTGTTCTTAACCCCACAACTGAGTAAGGCATAGGCAGATTCCATGAGATCACTGGCAAGGCAGTCCAGTAGAAGCAGCAAGCTACAGGTTTAATAAGAGACCCTGTCTCAAAAATTAAGGGGAGAACAATTGAGGAAGGCATGCATTATTGACTTCTGACCTCCATTTGTTCACATACACAGGCAAGGATATCTGCTTATACATGTGTATGCACACACACACACACACACACACATGAAGGACCGTACTGCCTGGTAAATGGGGTCACTATTGCTCAGACAGTACTGTCAGCTACGGCCAAAGTGACCAGCCATTGACTTCAGAGAGGCTCTAGGAGGCTCATGAGTACCAGGTCTCATGTCCTGGGAATTCTTCCTCAGCTCCTGCTAGGACATGGTTCTGAGCTGCAGTCCTAAAGGTATCCGTCACAGGCAAAAGAAGTTCCCATTCTGCCCCTCTGGAGTGGCCTTGGGGCCCACTCACCTGGTCATCAGTCTGAGGCCACATCAGTGGCAACTGGTGGCAGCTGTGGGGGTTGAAGTTGCACACGGTCACATTGCCCTGAAAAACACATACGTGCGATCACGGGGAAGAAGCGGGGCATGGACTCTGCCTGAGAAGGCACACGGGCCCTTGTTCTAGGACTCTGTGCTCAAGGAATTCTGAGAAAGAGCCCAAGTGTGCTCCTGGAGAGAGGAGCTTACAGCTTTGAGTGCTCGGAACCATCACTGTGACACACAGTTTAAGAATCTGGGACGAGACAACATAGGTCTCGGTGGGGAGAGAAGCTGGCTTTGGAGAAGTTCAGAGGCTGGAGGGGTGTGTGATGGCAAGCAGAGGCCTTTAGGGGAGCCATGATGTGGACATAGACCTGGAGAAGGGCCGCCCAGGAGAGGCAGGTTAAGCAGCCATGTCTTGCTCAGTGTAGGTGACACAGACCAAGGCAGAAATATAGAGAGCAGAAGAGCCTTAGCTCTAGGGGTTGGGAACCCTACAACCTCAGCTATAAAGTTCAGGCTCAATAGGCCTGGTGCGGTAGGTGGGGCCAGGCCCTGTATGCTAGGCTAGGCCCAGGGCCAGTAGCCTTCTCTTCCGCTGGAGAACTTGTGTTGATTTCTCTTCATGCCATAGGCAGGAGATAGGTGGGACTGGCTCTCAGCTAGCCTGCGAGGCTGCAGAGGAACTAAAAGCTTCCAGAAGGAAGCAGGGATCATCGTGTGTGTGTGTGTGTGTGTGTGTGTGTGTGTGTGTGTGTGTGTGCGCGCGCGCGCGCGCGCGCGCGCATACACATGTATAAAAGTCAGGACCAAGGAGGAAGAGGACAAATCCAGGAAGAAACCAGAGGCGGGAGCCCAAGCTGCTGCCAAGCCAGCTTTTCCCTCCTTCAGACCTGGACCTCCTGGATGAAAGAAGACTTGGAGTACAACTGGCCTGGGACCCTCCTGCATGCTCTCCTCCCTAGGATAAGGGGCGGGGGGACTACATCTGGTTCTTCTCATATACATATCTGTTCTGATCCTGCTCCCTAGAGTTGCATCCCCCAGCAACCAGGCAGGCTGGAGTCACAGCCCCCCGGGGGCCCTCTCACCTCCACATCTCTGCTCACGGACAGGCTACCACAGGTACAGCAGCAGATGATCACAATGGGGGGTGGATTTACAGGTGGTGCTGGAGGAGACACTGGAGGAGGGGGCTGTTTCTTCTTTTTGGGCTGAGAGGAGAGAGAAAAGCCTGTCTGATCCTTGTCTGTACTTTTCACAGCACTGGGCACTGTGGGGCCACTCAGCTATTGTTTTGGGGTGAATGGAAGAATGTAACCCACACCTTGGGGAGGTCTTCCATGGAGAGAAAAGCAGGGAGCTCCCTCCCCACAGCTTTCAGAGTAATAGCTTCTCAAAGTAATAACAGTCCACTTCCTAGGCCAGCCTGGTTGGCAGAAGCCTGGCCTGGTTGCTGTACTGTAGGCCAGCACTAACAGGTAACTGTCCCTTACATCTGCCTCTGGCCTTCGCACAGGCATCCTCACCCAGGCCACTCTGCAGTCAGCACAGTCCCGGCAAGATGGGGAGGCTGTTCCTATCCCAGCCCAAACCCAGGCTCCACCTACCCCAGTCTCTCACTATGACTTCTGGTCCTCACCTGACTTGAGCCACAGATGCTCATCCACTTTGTTCCTGTGCTTCCCTGGGGACATCCCTCACAGCTTAGGGCCAGCTGGGACTCCTTCACCCTCCTTATCTAACCTCAGGTCTTTAGGCTGATCCCAGCCAACCCCTCTACGCTGCCAGGAGACAGGGGTGAAGACAGATCTAATGGAGCAAGAAGACCTCCAACATGGGGGTGGGGACCAGGGCTTGACACAGAAGCCTGCTCTCGGGAACTGAGCTGCAGCCTCAGCATCAAACAGAGTCCTTTGAGGTCCCCTGAAAACCACGGAGACAGTAGATATTAGCTGCTCATGCTGAAACAGTGCCGCATGGTGCTGATTGTGTGGCCAAGGCAGGAGATCCTAAGAGTCTTTGGGTGATGTCACCGTGAGCCCCTCCGTGGACCCTTTGAGATCCTCTACCCTTCTTCCTTCCTGAGTACAGACAGGTCTTTGATGCCTCGTTCGAAGGTCATTGTCCTTAGGCCTCCAAAGCATGACTTACCTGTGGTTGGGGCTTAGGTGGGGGCAGTTCCACAACAGGCTGGAGGGTAAAACAGACAAAAGAAGCTGGTGTGTATAAAATGGGCTCTGCCTCAGCTCAGCAGACAGGGTAAGCTGGTCTGGAGCAGGGATGCACATATCCTGGGATGGGTGTGGGCGCTCAAGCCTGTGCTGTTGTGCACAGTGCCCCCCCCATCTGCTGGAGCCCCCCCTTCTCTGCAGGTGGGAGTGATGAGCCGGGTCAAGGTGCCGATCCTGGAGAAGCCTGGCACTAAGTGCTGCCTACCTGTGGAGCCCCACCTGCGTCAGAGCCCACACTCCGTCCCTTCCCCTAAGAGAAGCCCAGGGTCTTGCAGTCTCCCCTGACCTCCGGGCTCCTGTTGGCTTTCTCCACTGTCTGCTCCCATGGGTAGAAATGGGACCTGACAGTTCTGACTCTGTGCTCTGCCGTCCCCAGGGTCATGGGGCTGCCTCACATCTACGCCTCTTGGACGGAGGGCGTGCTCCTGGGCCCCAGACTGAGCAGGTAGGGGCCCTCACCGGAAGGCAACACAACTGCCAGAAACAGCCCATCAGCAACACAGTCAGCAGCAGGGTCAGGAGTATAGGGGCAAAAATGAATCTATCGATGCTTGGCTTCAGTTCCTTTGTGACCAGCCGGGTGGTAGGGACGGTGGTTGTCGGCCGGGTGTTCGTGGTAGGCGGGATCATCATGGTGGTAGTTGTAGTGGTGGTCGTGCTTGTTGTTCTAGTTGTGAGTTCCCTAGTGGTTGTGGTGGCTCCCGCTGTAGTGGAGGATTTGCCCTGGGATAGAGAAAGGTTATATGTCACCACCGCCAGAAGCACATCCTGCAGAGACCAAGGGCGATTGTGTAAGGCCCTCCTAGATATCTGCAGCTTGGCTTCTCGTCCTCTCTCTTATTCCTGGGCTCCTCAGAACTGATGGGTCACCCGGAGATCCTACCTCTGGCCCTGCTCCAAGGCTTTTGCCAAGGTGAGGATGGCCCAGGATTCTCTGTGGTCTGAGGATCACGGCCTTCACTATGGCTTCAGCTGACAGTGCACGAGGCTATGGGTGACCAAATCTCCGGGAGAGGCTGCAAGACCTCTCTTCCTACTTCCCAGCCCCACAGCCTGGTGCTCAGGCTAAGGCCCGTCTTGTGACCTAAGCAGTGGCCACCCTCATGGACACTTAGCAAGGTCAGAGTTCACAGTCGTGGCTCAGGCTCAGGCCACGGAACTTCAGGATTGGGACTACTCCCCCAGTTGCCTCCTAGAGTAGGCTGCAGCCTGTCCAACCCTACTGAGTCTGAGGCCTGCTAAGAGCAAGGGCTGTAGAAGTCACTGGGAGGAGGTGCCCGGGACCCCGTGATGCTTGCCTGGAAGCTGAGAAGATGTAACCATAGCTGCTGCGGGGGGCTGAAGACATGGGCTTCTCTGCTTCGGTACTTATGTCTGGGAATGTTAGGTGGTGAGTACCAAAGGGGCAGAAATCTGAGTGCATCCTCCCAACTTACATGTGGAGGTGAGGGATGAGCCAGGCAAACCCAAAGATGCCACTCAACTCTGAGGGGTTCTTATAAGCTGAGAGAAACCTCCTTTTCCTTGACACCCTCTTCTGTCACACTGCAGGGGGCTCTGTTGTCACCAAACAGGCTTGAGGGCAGGGGGTCTAGAGTGTGTGTGGCACAACATTAGTGTCCAGGGCTCCATTTCTGTGTCACATACACCCTGACTGCAGTGTGGACTTTTGTATTCCTGAACCTGGGACACCCCTGTGGAAGGGCTACATGCCCTAAACATCATGGACAGGCCCTGGCAGACAGCTTGGTGCATGTCTCCCTGGCCCTTCTGGAAACTGGGCTGGGTCACCTAAGTTGCTTGTGTGTATAAACTGCCCTTGGGGCCTGCCTGGGACTTCTCTGCCCCTTTGACCTACTGGGTAGACCTGCACCAACCAGAGGGTCTGCGCAGATGGGGTCCCAGCCCCACCCTGGTACTCACACATAGCTTGCTGGCAACGAATAAATTTTTATTCAGGAAGTTCTTTCCATTGTCCAGGCTGAGTAGAACATGGATCACTCTAACACAGAGACAGACACTGAGAAACAGCCTGGTCACAAGGACCTTGGGCTTGGCTTAAGAAATAACCCTAGTTCTTCTCATGGTTATACTAAATCTCAGACACTCCAAACTGCTGCAGAGTGGACTTGTGGTAAAGAGAGGAACTAGGAGTGAACCTCTGCAATGATAGTGAAGGGCTGCAGGTTAGACCATGAGAAGCACCTACATTCCATGGCCTTTGAGCTAAGGCATCAGGGAGATGGGCATGGAATCACCATGCTGGCTTGTACCAGGGGGATGGTCAGAGAAAATGTTGCAGCTCTCAGTCCCATCATTTCCTGCATCCCGCCCTCAGTAAAGCCTGAGCACTGTGCATCACTCAGCACCATGGGAGCCACCGACAGGGCCAGGTGGGAGGGTACTGCAGCCCACCTGCAGGCAGATAGGTGTTCTACAGCAGAGGGGACATCTTAGATTCCACACTATATTGGTAAACACTGACCACTGATCTCTTCCACTGAGGCCTCCAGCAAGGGGCACTTACTTCCCTGGTTCCTCTACGATCGGTCCAGGACAAGTAACCGTAGTCTTGGTTAGATTGAAGGCTTTTACATCTAAAAGAGAAAGACACGAATGACCAACAGATGCGTCCCTTCCACCATTGTTGCCCTCTACCTGCAGAGCTGACCAATAAGCAGCAATCTCCTCTCTACCTTCTTCAATACAAAGACTGCTGGTGGACCCCAACTCTGCCCAGCATCAAAGAGCACTCTGGTGCCCGGTAGAAGCAGGCAGCAAGAGCCCTTGCACCTCAGGGCTCACCTACTAGGCACTATGATCACCTTTCCCTTTCATAACCTAAGTATACACACGTGCACTTTCACACACACACACACACACACACACACACATGTGCGCACACACGCGTGGGTGGGGAGATTATACTTGTGAGAGAAAACATGTAGCATTTGTCTTTCTGGATCTGGCTTATTTTGCTTAACATGATGATCTATCCATTCTCCTGAAAAACGACATGATTTCATTTTTATTTATAGTTGAAAAAAATCCATTGTGTCTATGTTTATTTTGGATAAGTATGGGGATAGTAAACAAGATAAAGGACTCGGACAGGGCAAGGGGAGAAAGAGGGTTTTTAAATAAGTGAAAAGATAAATAAATAGAGGAGTGGAGAAGAAAACTGTGGACAAGGGAGAAGAAACTAATTGGAGATTAGTAAGAAGAGAAAAAACAAGCAAATTTCCCAATAATGAGACAACCTGAAAACAAAATTACAATTAAATGTAAGGAGGAAAATAAAAATTAAATCATGAAAAATATGTCATGCCGGGGTGGTGGTGGCTCTTGCCTTTAATCCCAGCACTCGGGAGGCAGAGGCAGACTGATCTCTGCGAATTCAAGGCCAGCCTGATCTACAGAACGAGTTCCATGATAGCCAGGACTGTTACACAGAGAAACCCTAACTCGGGGCGGGGCGGGTGGGGGGGGACAACTATATGCGCACACGCGTTGGGGGGGGGCTTTAAAAAGGACATAAAACATAGAAGTATTCCTAAACTGCAGTAGAAAGGGAAAATAGAAAAGAAAATAGACTGTCTGCCACCCAAGACAAAAATCTATAGGCCACTAAGGGATTCTGAGAGCAGGAGGGTAAAGGAGTCTCCCCGTGGAGGAGCCCTACATGATTGTCCAATGCCAAGGGCTCAGGCTGGAATCATGTACGCGCAACAGTGAATGGGTTCAGCAGGTTCTATCTATTCTATGTGTGACAATAACAAAGAGGAGGAGGCTGGGATTTGAGAGGGAATGGGGCCTGGGGAGACAGGAGAAGTTTGAAGAAGGAAAGGAAATGATATGAAATGAGAGATAAATTCAAAGGTTGTCTAATAATAAAAATATATAAGACTTAGATGAATGTAGGGCAGGGAATAAAAAATAAAAACATGAATTTTTCTTGCATGTAGTAAGTTTAAAAGAATTCTGTAGCAGGAATCTTAAAAGTTCTTATTAATAAAATCAAACCTGAGGCGAGTTATTGGGGTCCATGCTGGTAGATCAGAGAGACAGAACAAGCCA